AAGTAAAACGCTCCATTGAAGCTATTTTAGAACATTCTACTGGCCATTATTTTATTAAGAGACTTTTATTGTTTTTTTTAAAAACTTTATTTTGAGCCGTACATCATTTTAACATTCTGCGCCATACAGAAAGCACTGTACCCACTTACATGGGCAGCAAAAACAAAAAAACAAAAAGTCACAGGGATGATCTGTACAACACAACTATATCACAACTATCAGTATTAGTTGTTACTCATATCAACATCACCACATCAACATATTGTTTATTTGTCTTCTTTATTTATTTTTATGTGTTTTAAGTCATTTGTGTTTCTTAAATAGTTAAAAAGTAGTACAAGTTATTAGTTTATAGTATGTGAATTATAATTATGTCAAATAAAAAACCATTGGCTATACCTTTAATGACAGGTTTCCGGTTCGCCCTGTTGGTTCTTATTTTCCAATAATGACCTGCGTTCTATATATTACGTAAAACATGCTTTGTGCTTGATATGGTTCATGTGAAGCCCTTCTCGTCCAGTTTGCAGAACCAAATATCGGTAACGCTTTATATTAAGGTGTGCTTGTTAAGTATTAATAAGGTATTAATAGACAATAGCATCATGCTTATAGATTGCTTGTATGTACTTATAAACATATTAATAAGCTGCTCATTTCACTATTCTCTAAATTATGTTGTTCTAGTTATATGCTTTTAAGCATTTAATAAGTAATTAGTAAGATACTTATTAAAGGAGGAATATGTTTATAAATATATGAATAAGCTGCTTATTAAACTATTATCGATACCATGTTAATAGGCCACTAACAATATGCCTATAAAGATATTAATACGCTGCTTATTAATACGTAATAGTGGTAATAGGCCACTAAAAATATGCGTTAATAAACTGCTTATTACACTATTTTGCAGTACCCTAATCTAAAGCGAGGAGCATTTTTGTTAATGCAGAAAAAAACACTACATTGATCTAAGATGTTTTTATTTATTCAAACAGCAACAATTACAGTCTAAATGAGAAAAAAAAATCAAAATTAAGTTTGTGCCAAAAGTTTGTTAGTAACTTCAGGAGCCATGATGAACCCACTCATGCTCTGACCTGCTCTGTTCATGAATTTAGCTTTGGAAAAACAGTGAATCAACTGACTTCACGAGCCTGAGAGATTAGCGGAACTCGCCTATTTTTGGGCATCGTCTGGTCCTCCCGGTTCTGCGCAGTGGACGAGCTCCCATGATGCTTTGCGGCAAATACGCGTGCGTGGCTGTCATGCACGTGCACAGAGGGGCCGTGCTCTGACCAATCAGAGCTGCTGATCAGAGCGAGAGTTAGAGCGGGAGTAAGAGCGGGAGCCAGACGAGTAGAGTTTGTGGCAGTAAAATGTGGATTTAAAGGACAACTCACCCTCAAATCCACTTTTTTTTTGCTTATAAACGGTATAAATTAGTGTCCAATGGTGTTGTCTACATATCCTCAGTGTTGTGCCAGTTCACAGCTTTTCTGAACTAGTTCAAGTTCAGTTCAAACATGCTCAAAGTGAACAGTTCACTTTCAAAGTTCACATTTTTATTTATGAACTAGTTCAAAGTTCAGTTCATTTAACTTTTTTTGTGAGATACTTAAATAAATATTTTTTTCACACTACAAGCTATATATATATATATATATGTATAATATATATATATATCTATATATATATATATAGATATATATACAGGATATATAGTATATATATATCCTGTACACCCACAGGAGGAGAGCCTTTTGACTAGAAAACAGACCAGATTTACATGGTTTTCAATGGGAGCATAACGGAGTTGTTCCATCTCTGCTCATAAACTACAGACAGTAATGGGCTGCAGTGCGTGTCTCTATACTTTATGTCAAATGTAAACGGTGTAAACTTTGTCGCTAACTCACCCTGTGTTTTCATCACGACTCGGGCACATGTGAAAAGCACCAGCTCACAGCGCCGCACCGCAACACGGAGTCGGGGTGCGTTCACAGACGGTGGAAACCGTAGGAATTTTTAGATTTCGACAGAAAAAGTGCGAGAATACAGGAGGGAGGAACTTTCTCTCGTCGCGTTTTAAAAGAGAAAACAGATTCCAACGTTCATAGTGATGTCTGCCGTTCATGACACATAAAATGAACTAAATCACGTTCAAGTTCTTTTTTTAAAAATGTGTTGCGTTCAGTTCAACGTTCACGAAAAAATGAGCGTGTTCAATGAACGCGTTCTTTTGAACTCGTTCACGCACAACACTGCATATCCTGGTCATAATCTTGTCACTTTGGTGCAAATTAGTTGAAAGTTAAACTTTCTGCCTAAAACGTCTGTGAGGCGCCATCTGCTGGCGACCTGTATTACTACATTTGAATTTTGAATCTGGCGCCTGAGACCTGACGTCAGCAGCCCCCCGCCCAGAGCTATATAAACGGCCCAGTCTCGTTCACGCCCCCTTTAGTCCTCCAGGCCACGCCCATTTAGAGGAAGATTTGAACAGGAAATGTGAGTGACGTAAGCTCCGAGGAGCGGGGGTGAGAACCACTTTAAAGAAAACTGAAGGATTTAAGAAGAAAAAAAGTTCAGGATGACAAGGGACACTAAAATCCCCAGAAAATACGAACTTTATGAAAGCTGTGGGTTCTCTATCAGGTTCTCTGTCAGCTGAGGTCGAGCTGTTTTAATTTACATTGAGTTCTTTGGGACTTTTTCTGGGTAGCCCACGTGAATTTAGTCTGCAGTACCACAGCGCCCCCTGTGCCCATGGGTGGGACAGCTATACGCTAGGAATACACTATCCAGTTATTATTATAGTTCCATGGTTGTGCCACAGGTGCGTTGTATACATGATCTATTATAATAACTGGATAGGGTATTACTAGCTTGTAGCTCGAGGGATTCTCGTGGTACTGCAGACTAAATTCACGTGAGCTACCCAGAAATTGTCCCATAGAACTTAATGTAAACTAAAACAGCTCGACCTCAGCTGACAGAGAACCTACAGCTTTCATAAAGGTCGGATTTTGTGGGGATTTTAGTGTCCCTTGTCATCCTGAACTTTTTTCTTCTTAAATCCTTCAGTTTTCTTTAAATCCACACTTTACTGCCACAAACTCTACTCATCTGGCTCTTACTCCCGCTCTAACTCCCACTCTGATCAGCAGCTCTGATTGGTCAGAGCACGGCCCCTCTGTGCACGTGCATGACAGCAACGCACGCGTATTTGCCGCAAAGCATCATGGGAGCTCGTCCACTGCGCAGAACCGGGAGGACCAGACGATGCCCAAAAATAGGCGAGTTCCGCTAATCTCTCAGGCTCGTGAAGTCAGTTGATTCACTGTTTTGCCAAAGCCAAATTCATGAACAGAGCAGGTCAGAGCATGAGTGGGTTCATCATGGCTCCTGAAGTTACTAACAAACTTTTGGCACAAACTTCATTTTGATTTTTTTTTTTTTCATTTAGACTGTAATTGTTGCTGTTTGAATAAATAAAAACATCTTAGGTCAATGTTGTGTTTTTTTCTGCATTAACAAAAATGCTCCTCGCTTTAGATTAGGGTACTGCAAAATAGTGTAATAAGCAGTTTATTAACGCATATTTTTAGTGGCCTATTACCACTATTACCTATTAATAAGCAGCTTATTAATCATTAATCACTAGAACAACATCATTTAGAGAATAGTGAAATGAGCAGCTTATTAATATGTTTATAAGTACATATAAGCAATCTATAAGCATGATGCTAATGTCTATTAATACCTTATTAATACTTAATAAGCACACCTTAATATAAAGCGTTACCCCATATATCTTCTTTTACTGTGGACATTTGCATAATCATTATGTTGACTGTGGACAGGCTGATCTATGACCCCACGGCTGACAATTACACTCCAAGCTCCAAGGTGGTCTTTTACATGTATGGTGGGAGTAGGGAGCCATCCCCACTGTAGGACGGATACAGGATTTTTTTGAATTACTTGTTAAATATGTAATGTAAGAAATAACATTGTGTGGATCTCATTTTTATCTTTAAGCATGAAAATGAGATCCAGACTAATGGGGTAATTACAGAGTAATTAGTAACTGTGTATAATTACTTATTATAGAATGTATCTACTCTGTATACACCCCATGTTCATGTATGCTTGAGACCCTGTTTGTCTCTATCAAATACCCACTCCTTTCAATCAATTAATCAAAGTTTATCTTTACGGCACAATTATACTCAAGGCAATTCATAGTGCTTTAACCATATAGTAAAAAAATCAATGTAGTACACCATACATATGCATAAAAACTACACTAGAAGAACATTGCAATACAAGTTCACAGGCAATAAAAGCTTGTTAGTGTGATGTTGAAATAAATACATTATTTAATTTAATTATTTAAGCCCTTACTAAGACTAGATCAAAGTAGGGGCTTGTCTCAAAAGCTCCCAAAGACAGTTACAGAAGGTTAGCGCTTTAAACTGAAACGCTGACCCCCATGCCCAATCCCTGGAGGCTCTGTGCTCCTCAGAGTCCGAGTTGGTTCAAATGGCACCAACATGTCTCTGAGGTACTTTGTTGCAAGACTGAGCCACAAGGACTGAATTGTTGCCTGTGAGCTGCCATTAATCCCCTTTCCTTCCTCAATGTTTAGTCAGTCCGTTTTGTGCAGCTTACTTATTCATATTTTGATTTGATTGATAGTGTTCCGTTTTTAAACTGAAAGCTTCAGAAGTCACCTGCTGAGTGTTAAGTGCCAGTGCCGAATTGGTCTCCTCTCCTCAAATAAACACGACCGCAAAAAGTGCACCATATTTAAGCCTCCCGTCCATCTGATCAAAGATTTTATTTACGTCCATTCCCAATCTTGGTGCAGTCATCAATCATTCTGCTTTTGCGTTGGCTCTTTTCGCAGCTTACCCCCTGCTACGTGCTTTATTTCTGCAGACGTAACTACGCATTTACACAGCCTGTTTTTCTCCTTCTCACCTCGGCAGGCGGTTCGAAGCGTCCCCCGTGTGTGCCGACCTGCAGGGCCAGATCCTCGCCTGCTACCGGGAAAATACCGGAAAAACCCTGAACTGCTCCAACATCTCGGCCCTCTACCTGCAGTGTGTCAACAAAGCCAAGATGGTGCGTATTCATCCATGCAGGGATAAATAAGGCATTTGGCTTCCTTTAGATCATTTGCACATAATTTATTCCTACAATGATTTTCCACTCCTGCGGTATTGCCCTGATTTGATTTGCATATAGATGTTTTGGAGTCGTGTGTGCTAAATGGATTCTTTGCTTGTGAGCGTAAACTGTGTAAATTAGAAAGAAGAAAGCACTTAATCACTTTCAAACTTTGTCATTTTTCACTCTGCACTTTGTGAAGTTTTCTCAAGCCTTTTCGGTCAAACGCCAATACGTGGCATTTCTTAATTAAAATATGGTGAATGAAATGAATGGAGTGAATCGTGAACAGTGCAATGTGGGAGAATGTTTGTGCCTGTGTTTTGTTTAGTTCCATACCATCGGAGGTAGTGATTGTGTTGTGTCCAATCCAATTTATTTATTTAGCACATTTTATAAAGCAGGTTTCCAAAGTGCTGCACAGAGAAAAGTAACACATTTAAATATACAAGTCTGCCTTTAAATAAAAGCCATTAAGATAAAATAAAGCAAACAGCTATTAACTGTTAATTTTTAACTTCACATGTTGTATTTTTCTGTCTGCTTTGCCTTTGTTTTTGTTTTATCTTTCTTGTTCTGCTGTTTTATGCTGACAGTGCAGCGCTTTGTAAACATTGTTTAAAGTGCTGAACAATTAAAGATTTATATATTATTCATAAATAAAATATAGGACCATACAGAGAGTGGCCGGAGAGTAAAAGTGTGATTTAAAAGAGACTTAAAAAATTCCAACGAGGGAGCTGATTTGACATGGAGGGGGACAGAGCAGTCCACAGCTTTGGTCCAGCCACAGAGAAGGCCCTGTCTCCTCGGGTTTTAATTCTCGTCTTTCTGACCCTCGGACCTCAGCGCGGGAGGCGGGTATTATGCTGTGATGTGTTTTGCTGAATGGTTTTGTGTTGTATTGTTTGGTCTTGTGCTGAATAGGAGAGAGGTGATTTGAATAACATAAGCGTCTTCTTCTTAATCCATCCCATTTTCACATCATGTACAAGCATATCTGTGTCTGAATAATGTTTGTTTATACTAAAGGGGAAAATAATCACAATCACAGCAAAAGAGAAATCGACCCCCGTGACTGACGCACATCCTTTTTCAGTGTGTAACCTTTCCGGGGCAAGTAGAGGAACTATCCAGGCAAGTGATGGGGAGAGAGATAGTGTCCACCAGTCACGCTGGGAACAGCGGGGTTCAGCTAAGGTCATCCTGAATGTCCTGTCCCTCTCCTGGATGAGACTAAGAGGACTCTGCCTCAACAGACTGGATCTTAACTGCAAATGGATGCGGGTCAATCCTGGACTCACCTGCAGTCTCAGTGGGTCTCGACTTCCCTGTGGCTTTCCCCAAGGTTTTCCCCCATAGGTTTTTTTTTGTCAAAGACAGAGGGTGTAAGGACAGCGAATGCTACTTGACATTGGTAAACTTGTTATTTGTAAGCTACTTTCTTCTGCGGGAGAACTCTTAATCTGTTTTTGGATTTACAAAAAAGTCCAGACTTAATAACATGGTCTTAAATACGACTGATTATTTTATGCCACTTTCTTGCTTGTTTATTTTTCATTTCATTATTTGTTCATTCAATAATATAATATGTTTATGATAAAAATAGTATCATTATTCTACTATAGTTATTTTTGTATAGCCCTAAATCACACCAGCAGTCATTGCGGAGAACTTTTTTTTGTAGTTGTCGATATGCCAACTTCCAACTAAACAAGAAATGCATTAATACCAAACACATAAGAGCTATTGACCTGTAGCGGGATTGCCAATGTCCATAAAAGTTCATTAATGTCCTCAATTGTCCTGGATCATCACTGTCCTTAGAACCTCCTGCATCAACACTCACAAACCCAGTGGGAAAAAATATGGCATCCTCTCCCACTGAAGGACGGCCTTTAGACCCAGGCTGTAGAATGTTATACAGCAATTTGTACCCTTCACATCTCATAACAGTATTACTTTAGATTGACAGTAGTTTTTTGATGGATGGTTAAGTTTACCCTGGCAGTACCAAGGCCCCTCCTCCTAAAAAAATCTACTTTGTTCATCTCTTACTCTTCATTCTTCACCCACCAAAAGGAAGACAAGTCTAAGCATGCACCTTATTGGACCCCTCATAAGCGAGTGTTGTAAATGCCACATGAAAAGGCGCCTCTTGTGTAGAAATACGTTTTGATAGCTCTGTAGATATTATCCCCATAGATCAGCAGTTCCCCGTAGAATCGCTATTGTCTTTGTAAATGTCCAAATGAATTACGATTATACGCACACTTTACAGCCACAGACACACTCCAGTCCATTTACATGCACCCGGTCCCTCCTCAGAGACAGGACAATACAATTCCACCTGTCCGATGGCGCCGTTAAATGACCAGTTTAAAACACAAGCGCAATTTCCATAATACTTGCTTACGCTGCACCCACTTGGTCCGCCTTTATCTGTTTTAATGCAATAAGTTGTAAGAAGTAGCCATGGCCAGTTGAAGATCAGTGCCATTTTGCAATGTTTTTTTGTCTATTCCTTTGCGGGTATGCTGATAGTAATGTCATTTCTACATTAACTGCATTTCCCCCAGCTCTGACTTGGCAGTAAGAAACAGTGGCGGGCAACATTTCCATGCATAGAGCTTTTCTATTAGATTTTAAAACACATTTGTACTACTCTCTTCCTATTTTTTTCTACATTTGAGATCTGGGATGTTTCTAGTCTGTCTAGTCTAGTCTAGTCTTGCACATTAGATCAAAAGTAAGACGCAGGCATATTCTTAGCATATACGCGACATCATGTAAATTACTGGATGTTTTATTCATTGAGGAAACATTGTAAGGCTGCGTGTGCATTAAAAAGCTCTATACCTGGAGCCTCTTCCGGAGCTTCCCATGCCCGAGCATAATCGAGCAAATTGTTGAGAAGTATGGTAATCCGTGTTTATCGCCTCGCAGCAATCACGGTGCACTCCCGTTCATCTGCGCTTATCTGCCTAAGACTTGCTTCTTAAAGTCATTAGGTGGAAGAGAAACGGTGTCACAGCGAAAGGAATGTGTAGAAGTGTTCCGAAAACAAAACAGCTTCAAGATAACTGTTTTTGATCAGACTGATCGCTTTGTTTTATCAGACGGCACAATCAATCAATCAAACAACGTTTATTTGTAGAGCGCCTTTCCTACACAAGGCAACGCAAAGCGCTTCACATCCCCTATCACATCATGCATAAATCAAACACATTAAGAGCACAAGATATATTAAAAACATTAAAAATAAAATCACAAAAATTAAAAACCTTTAAACATTAAAATCACAGATGGGACTAAAATCATAAATAGTCACAGTGCATTAAAAAGATTAAAGATAAAAACAAAGATGAAAAGATAAAATCATTCAGTTGTATATGCGCAGCTAAACAGAATTGTTTTGAGCCTAGATTTAAAAGATGCCAGATTAGACGCCTGTCTCACATTCTCAGGAAGACGGTTCCAGACTCTAGCCGCATGAATCTGAAATGCAGTTTGCCCATGTCTAGTACCGACTCTGGGCACTAACAGGAGTCCAGTCCCTGTGCTCCTCAGAGTCCGGGTCGGTTCATATGGCACAAACATGTCGTGGATGTACCTTGGCGCGAGACCATGGAGAGACTTGTACACAAGTAAAGCTGCTTTGAAGTCTATTCTCTGAGGAACAGGAAGCCAGTGCAGAGACCTGAGAACTGGACTAATGTGGTCGCACTTCCTAGTTCTGGTCAGGACTCGAGCTGCTGCATTTTGAATGTACTGCAGCTGTTTTACAGCCTGTTTGGAGAGACCTGTGAACAAGCCATTGCAATAGTCTAACCGACTGGAGACAAAAGCGTGTATAAGGGTCTCCAAGTCTGCCTTAGACACTATGTTTTTAATTTTAGCAATGTTTTTTAGGTGGTAATAAGCTGCTGATGTTACAGATTTTATGTGGCTTTTGAAATTTAAGTCTGAGTCCATTATCACTCCCAGATTTCTGACCTGATTTGAGGGTTGTAGAGAGAGAGCCTGGAGGTGACAAATAACGCTCTCTCTTTGTTTCTGGGGTCCGAAAACAATTATTTCAGTTTTGTCGGTGTTTAGTTGGAGAAAGTTATTTACAATGAAGAGTGACCTGAGGAAGTGACCTGAGGATTCACAATTGACAGTACATTGTACATCTAAACTACTGACATATATATATGACACAATCCTTTATGTGTTAGAATATTTATAATTGGCTCACAGCTTCTAAAAAGTATATTTTGTAAACAGACTTTAAGCCGTAATCATCAACATCACAGCAGTCTACATATTTGACAGATGTCACGTTGCATATAATGAGCCTGTAAAATTGTTTTAAGATCGTAAATTATTGAATTTGGTTTTTTTCCCGGCTGTATAAAATTGTATTGTGTTTATTTACAATTTTAGTTTTTTTAGTTTTTTTTTTCAATCTTGTTCCAAATTGTGTTGAATGAGTGAATGGGGGTTGGAAGTGTCAGTGTTTTCTGAACATGTATGTAAAAATTTGTTATTTTCTTGTTGGTGGATTTGATTGTTTCATCAAAATAGAGCTGAAAAGAGCTGTGAAAATGTAAAGGAATAGTATTCACAAAGCACCATTCATGCAAAAGCAACCCAGGGTGCTCAACAAACTGGGAAACAATTGGGATACAATCAAACATTTACGGAAATAAACATACAAAGAATGCCATAAATAAAAAGCATGAGTCAATAAGAACATGTAAAGGCCTTTAAAAGCAGCTACAGTTGGAATAGTGTAAAAACAGCATAAAAACTAAATGCAGCGTTGCACTATTTGGTCCTGATGTTTGGGACACACGGTAAACCTGTCCCAGACCTGAGGATCCTCTTGCTATCACATATCGTGCACATCTTTTTTTGCAAGTTCATTCAGACCATTCAGTGCCTTTGAGATATTTTAAATTCTCTTCTAT